TGTAGAAGACTCGGGTTCCTCCCGACTTATGACTGGCGTTTCATCCTGAATCGTTTTTGACGGTCCCGAAGCCCGGCAAGCACTTCCCCAAGCCGAATGTGAAGACCGAATAACCGTATATTTTTCATGACCCCAAGTCGATGTTTGACGGCCCCGAGGCCCGGAAAGGGCCCCCAGATGTCAAAAATCGTGAGCAACCTTTTGGGGGACAAAAAACACACACACACACACACACAGACACACACACACACACACAATCACTGCATAGACATAAACTTTCGCCAGCCCGCGCGGATTTCTTGGATCTACGCTGGACCCCCCTCCTTAGCGCGATCCGAGCGCCAATGGCGGCGCGGGAGGCACCGCCGGGGGGTCCCGGGGCGGATCCACGACATCCGCGCGGACCGCCAAGAGTACATGTTTATGGCGATCTTGCTCGTCGAGAACTCCCCGCCGTGCTTTTGTCGCAACGCGAGGGGGTCTGGGTTTCGATGGTGGGCCGATTCTCCACCACCACTACCATATAGGTACGATGGGGAGGAAGGGAGCAGGAGGACCCCCTTCTCCGCTCTCCCCCGCGCTACCCGTGGCGGTGGAGCTGGAACCTCGGCCCATCTTTCGGGAGCGGCCAAAAGGGGGGTGTCCAAGAGGGGGGGTGCAAATCATGACCGGCGGCGTGTGCGCGGCCCAGCGGGGGGGCCAGGGACGTCATGAAACAAGAAGAGGCGCCATGAAATCTGGGGAAATACCATGGCCCCCGCCATGAGATCCCCCCCCCGCTGGTCATCACCCCCCTCCTTCCCGCCCCCGAATCTTGGGGAGCTGCGGGCCTCCAGCGCCCTCTCGAGGCCCAGGCTGCAGGCCACGGTGCCGAGCGGAGGTCGGAGCCCGCCGAGCGGCCGGCGGCCCTCCCCGTGGTGCTCCCGCCGGGGCCGCCCGGGCTTGGCCCCTGCCCCTTAGGGGGGCTGCTCGCCGCCGAGGCCCGGTCCGCATCGAGGAGCGGGCCAGGAGAGGCCCCGGGGAGGTACGAACTTCGAGGTCTCTCGCGGGCGTATAGGCCGAGTGGGTGTCTCGCGAAGTGGACGGCCTGCCTTGAACGGAACTGAACTGAGCCCAACGGAACTGAACAGAATGAAACTGAACTGAACTGAACTGAACTGAACGAACTGGTCGCACCCGTTACGCGAAGGTGATCTTCTAGGCCGCCAGGGGCGCATTCTATCACGCAGCCGATAGGGAACGGTTTGATTCTCTGCCGCCGAGGACGCCACCTATGGCGCAACCGATAGGGGACGGTTCTATTTTGCCTCCGAGGGCGCAACCTCTGGCGTAACCAAGAGGAAACGTTTTATTCTCGGCCACCGACGGCGCAACCTATGGTGCAACCAAAAGGAGACGGTTTTGTTCCCAGCCGCCGAAGGCGAAACCTATGGCGCAACCGATGGGAGACGGTTTCGTTCTTCGCCGAGGGCGCAACCGATGGCACAACCGATAGGAAACGGGTTTACTCTCCGCCGCCGAGGACGCAACCTATGGTGCAGCCGATGGGAGACGGTTTTATTTCCAGGCGCCGAAGGCACAACCTATGGCGCAACTGGCAGGAGCCGTTTTTATTCTCAAGCGCCGAGGGCGCAACCTATATCGCAACCGATAGTGGACGGTTTTATCCTCGGCCGCCGAAGTCGCATCCTATGGCGCAACGGCCGCCGAAGGCACAACCTATGGCAGAACCTTCCCAAGAGGGCCCCAAGTCGGCCCAGCAAGGCCCCCCAAACGGCTTCCGACTATGTCAGACGGGCCAGGAACCCACCAAGACGGCCTCCAGGAAGGCCCGAAAAGGCCAAACTCATTGATTCCCCATGAGTTTTTGAAGGATAGTGGCATGTGCTTTTTGTTCGGCCTTCCGACGGCCCGAGACGGCCCAGGAGCCCCCAAAGATCGCCCAAGAGGCCCATGACGGCCCCAAGAGGCCCCCAAGACGGTCCAAGAGGCCTCCAAGACGCTCAAGGTGGCCTCGACAACGGCCCAAGCGCCCTCCAAGACGTCCTCCTAGAAGGCCCAAAAGGGTCAAACTGGCCTCCAGACGGCCAAGAGGACCTTCAAGATGCCCACGTGTTCCCCGAAGGCTTTCCAAACCGATTCGGGGAACACATGGTCCGATATCTTGGCAGATCTGGCCTCAACGTTCGGCCACATAGGCGCTTCCAAGAAGGCAGGGGGCGGCGGTGATTCGCCGTAAGCGTCTTCCATCCGCAGCCCCTTGTTGCTTGCAAGAGGGGTGCCCTGGCGTGCTGAATGCTATCGTTTTTGGTGTTGGTTCTTTTTTCAAAAGAACTCCTGGGGCTCCAGCGCGTCCCGCTGGCCACCCGAAAGGATGCCGAACATTTGCCTGGACCCAGCTCCAAATTATTGTTCCTGGTCCAGACGGCTCCACGACGGCCCAAGATGGCCTCCAAGATGCATCCCAGACGGCCAAGACGGCCTCCAGGACGGCTAAGATGGCCCCAAGATGCCTCCAAGACGGCCCAATCTGTACCCAAGATGGCGCCGCAAGATAGCCTCAAGATGACCCAAGACGGCCCAAGAGGCCTCAATACAGCCCAAGAGGCCTCCAAGAGGTGCTCCAGGAGGGCCCGCAAAGGCCAAACTCATAGATGTTCATTGGGTGTTTGAAGGATTTGGGCATTTGCCTCTTCTCGGCATTCCGACGGCGCAAGACGGCCCAAGATGCCGCCAAGATCGCCCCAAGATCGCCCACGAGGCGTCCAAGAGGGTCCCATGACGGCCTAAGAGGGCTCCAAAACGGCCCCAAGAGGACCCCAAGACGGCCCAAGAGACCTCCAAGACGCCCAAGATGACCTCCAAGACGGCCTCGAAGCGCCCCAAGAGGACCCCAAGTCGGTTCAGAGAGGCCGCGTCAGACGTGCCAGGAACCCACCACGATGACCGAAGTTGGCTCGAAGCTGGGCCTCCAGGAAACCCAGACAAAGGCCAAAAACACTTGTTGTCCTTAGATGTTTGGGAGATTTTGACATTTGATTATTGTCGGCCTTCAGACGGACCGAGACGGCCTAAGAGCCCCAAAAGATCGCCCAAAGATCGCCCGAGAGGCCTCCAAGATGGCCCCAGAACGGCCCAAGGGGCCCCCAAGACGGCCCCAGGAGGCCCCCAAGACGGCCCAGGAGGCCTTTATGACGCCCAAGATGGCCTCCAAGACGGCCCTGGAGCACCCCAAGAGGGCCCCAAGTCGGCCCAGCAAGGCCCCCCAAACGGCTTCCGACGGCGCCAGACGGGCCAGGAGCCCACCAAGACGGCCGAAGATGGCCCTAAGATGGCCTTAGACGGCCCAAGAGGCCTCCAAGAGGGCCTCCAGGAAGGCCCGAAAAGGCCAAACTCATTGATTTCCCATGAGTTTTTGAAGGATAGCGGCATTTGCTTTTGTTCGGCCTTCCGACGGCCCGAGACGGCCCAGGAGCCCCCAAAGATCGCCTAAGAGGCCCATGACGGCCCCAAGAGGCCCCAAGACGGCCCAAATGGCCTCCAAGACGCTCAAGGTGGCCTCGAAGACGGCTCAAGAGCCTTCCAAGACGTCCTCCAAGAAGGCCCGAAAGGGTCAAACTGGCCTCCAGACGGCCAAGAGGACCTTCAAGATGTCCACGTGTTCCCCGAAGGCTTTCCAAACCGATTCGGGGAACACATGGTCCGATAGCTTGGCAGAGCTGGCCCCAACGTTCGGCCACATAGGCGCTTCCAAGAAGGCAGGGGGCGGCGGTGACTCGCCGTAGGCGTCTTCGATCCGCCACCCCCTGTTGACTTATCACAGGACTGCCGGCTTCTGGTCTGCCCCTCCCGTCGGCTTTGTCGGTCAAGGTTGTCTCACTATGCCCTCCATGACGGCCAAAATGCTTCCAAGACAGCCAGCACGGCCCCAGGAGAGCCCAAGACATCGTCAAGATAGCCTCCAAGATGGTCCCAAGATGCCTCCAAGATCCCCAAACTGGCCCAAGCGGGCCCAACAAAACGCCAAATCTGCTCCGAAGTTGACCGAAGAGGCCTCCAAGAGGTCTTCCACGAAGGCCCTAAGCTGCCCAAATCACCGACGTGCCTTAGGTGTTTGACGGAGCTTGGCATTCGCTTCTGTTCAGATTTTCGACGGCCCAAGACGGCCCAGGAGGCCCCCAAGATCGCCCCAAGATCGCTCAAAAGGCCATCAAGGCGACCCCATGACGGCCCAAGGAGCCTTCGAGGCGGTCCCGCGAGGGCCCCAAGACGGCCCAAGAGGCCTCCGAGACGCCCATGGTGGCCTCCACGGCGGCACTGAAGCGCCCCAACAGGGACCCGTGTCCGTCCAGTGAGGCCCCTGAGTTGGGCTCCGACGGCGTCAGACGGGCCAGGAACGCCCTAAGACGGCCAACCGGGCCCCCAACAAGCCCCAAGAGGCCACAAAGGGCCCAAGGAGACAACCTAGAGGTCTCCGCGAGACCCACGAGAACTATATTTTTGTCGACCGCCTCGACAACGAGAGTTGTGTCTTGGCGTGCTGGGTTCGTGGCGCTTACAACGATTTGTTCCCCAAAGCCTTCAATAGTGATTGCCCTGGGTGCCCCCCAATAATGACGAGAGAGAGCCCTAAATTGCCCAAAGACCTGCCGCCAGCACAAGGGAGGCATGAAAAGCAGGCCATGGTTTGCCAAACCCATCACCCTGGACAGTTTAAACAGGGAAGCGCAGAGCGTGCAGCAGGGGCTACAGCAATAGACAGACGAACATTCCTCAGTCAGATGCGCTGGTCCTCCTGCTCCTCCTCCTTCTCCTCCTCCCCCTCCTCCTCCGCCTCCGCTTCCTCCTCCTCCTCCTCCTCCTCCTCCTCCTCCTCCTCCTCCTCCTCTTCCTCCTCCTTCTCGGCCATTTTGCGCTCGGGCGCGCCCCCTTCGCCTGCAGGAGGCCCCGAGTGTACGACACTCAGACTTCAGAGTGGCCACGAGTGTCGGAGCCAACGGATGGTTGCCAGCAGCAATGGCAGCAACAACACGACGTGGCGGTGCGAACCGTGCAATGTCAAGAACGGAGCCAAGTACAAGTACTGCTGGCAGTGCTGGGGTGCACGCCCGACCGCAGCAGCCGCAGGATCTTCCAGCGCGGCGGCAGGAGAGACCCTCGGGGACAAAAGCCACGACGAGAAGCTCACCAAGGTGCAGCACTACCGTGCCAAGCTGGTGGAGCTCAGGAAACTCGCCGAGGACCCGTTCCTGGAGGAGTCCCTGCAGCCGCAGGTGGCGCAGCTCGAGGACAAGCTCGCCGCCGAGCAGGCATCAATGGAAACGGGAGTACCGCGCTGTTTCACCGAATGCAGAGTGGTGCGAAACAGGAACAGGGTCGCAGAGTAGAAAGACAAGTGCCAGCAGAGGGTCGACGCGCTCAAGGAACAGAGAGACGCGCTCGACGAGAAGCTCGCCGACGAGCAGAGCAAGCTGGGCAAGTTCGACAGCAAGCTCGAGACCCTGGACAAGAAGATCCAGGAGCTGTCCGTCCCCGCCCCAGGAAAGGGATGGGCGGCAGCGCTCGCCTTCATGGAGCAGGCCGAGCAATGCGTCGACGACGACGAGAGCGAGAAGCGAGAGCAGCTCGTCGCCGCGGTCACCCACGCCAAGGAGCAGAAGGCACTGGAAGAGGAGAGGGCCAAGCAGCACGAGGCTCGCGCCGCCAAGGAGAGGGCAAGCAGCGCTGACAACCGCAAGCGCAGCTGCCCCGAGAGCCCCATCAAGGAGGACCTCCTCGAGATCCCCGCAGGCGCCAGCGAGCAGGACATCTGCAAGTCGCTCGTCGACGTGGGGGTCACGCCAGATCAGGCTGGCAAGGTGGTGGCTCCTCTTAAGCTGCTGGTGGGCGAGCTGCAGACTGGCCACGCCCTCGCCATCAGCAAAACCCAGTGGGTGCAGCAGCGGGGGTAGCGGCGGAACCAACCGCCGCTGCCCAAAGGCGCGACTCGCAGCGTACACGGTCAATGCCAACACGGTGAAGTCGCTAGAGCGAGTGGTGAAGCAGATCAGGGACAACGACCAGGACGTCATCGTCCTGGGCCAGGAGCTGCAGGCCAGCGGCACGCAGCTCGACCTGTTCCAGACCCGCATGCGCAAGGAGGGCTGGAACATCGGGGTAGTGAGCAGCGCGAAGACCAAGGCGGGTCACAGTGCTGGAGTTTTGATAGCGACGTCACGAAGCAGGGGTATGGACTTCGTGCGCAATGGGATTAACCAGTGGGACATCAGCCCGCGAGAGTCCACGGGGCGACTCGCCGTGGCCTGGGTCGACGCCTACAGCAAGGAAGGGCTCGTGCTAGGTACCGCGTACCTGTGGAACAGCGAGGGCCGCACGCAGAGGAACCAGCGCATCCTGGTCAAGTGGGGCGCCACCATGAACGCGATCCAGAAGGAGTGGATCCTCGGCGGCGACTTCAACATGGACCCAGTGACGCTGGAGCAGTCAGAGATCGTCCACAAGGTGAATGGCATCATCGTGCGAGACACTCTGCAGGGCAGCTGCCTGAAGCAAGATGGCACGAGGAGTACGCGGGACTACTTCATCGTATCGCGCGGCCTGGTTGCACACGCGCTCAAGCCAGAAGTCCAAGAAGGGTACAACACGTCGCCACACTTGCCCGCCAAGATGAGGGTCCCAGTGCATCAGCGAAGCGACTACATCATCAGCGTGCTGTGCAAGCGGGCGCCAGGGCCGCTGACACGGCCAACGGGCTGCCCCTCGCAGCCAGTGCGATGGCCTAGGCCGCTCGCACACAAGAAGTACACGCAGGGCCAGGTCGACGAGCACTGGAGTGAGCTCGGCGAGGCCTACGAGAAGCACCTCAAAAGGTACCACAGCTTCGATGGCGACGACCTGGGCAAGAGACAGGGCCACTTCGAGAAGGTCAACTACAAGCAGAGGCCGCGCAGGCCCATGCCCTGCACCGCGGCACAGGAGCAGCAGCAGTGGGCCGAGGCTGCCGAGTGGCTTGCGCGGCGGCTGCGCCAGCTGAGGTCACTGGCCAACGCATGGCAGCAGCGGCGAGACGCAGGCACGCTTCGGCGAGCTCAGCACATTGCTGATGGGCTACTTAGCCACGACATCGTCACGCCGCTGCTCGCAGAGCGGGCACCTGGACAGACGACTGAGGCAGGCAACGACACGGACGAGGAGGACGGGCTGCTGGAGCCAGAGGGCGCCCCTCGGGAGGAGGCGGAAGGGGTGCAGGGCCGATTCGCGGTCAGAGCGCCTCCCACCGAGGGCCAGCAGGACCCCAATACGTGGAACACGATTCGATGGCCGCTCATCGTACACACGCTGCGAGACTGGCGAGTCACCGACATCGACGACCGCGCCCAGAACTACCCGGGCTTCATAGCCACGCTGCTGGACATCGCCAGCAGGAAGTACTGGAAGATGGTGCACCGAGCGGCCGCGGCGCAGTGGCGGCAGTGGGTCACCACGCACGGAGAGCGAGGAGCAGGAGCGCTGCACAAGTGGACCAAGGCCCCAGCGCCTTGGCAGCCGCAGGCAGCGCCAGCGGGGGCCGACAGCGAGCAGATGCACGAGCTCACGCACCCCCAGAAGGCCGCCGACGCCGCGCTGAAGGGGTGGGAGAGCATCTGGCACGACCCGCTCGTGCCGAGGGCGCCGTGGCTCCAGCCGCCCACGGAGATCGAGTGGGCAGAGTCCAAGCCGCCGCCCATCACCCCGCAGCAGGTGATCGAGGCTTGCGGCCGCTTCAGGACCAAGACGGGGCTGGGGGAATCGGGATGGCACCCGACACTCTGGCGCGAAGGGGGCATCCATGGAGCGGCGAGGGTGGCCAGCACCCTCAACGCCCTGGAGGCGGGCTCGCCCTGGCCGCAAGCGCAGGACACCATCCTGTTCTACTTGCTGGCAAAGGCTTCGGGCGGGTACCGCAACCTCGGGCTGATTCCTGAGCTGGCCAGGCTGTGGGAGACTATCCGCATGCCGTACGCCAGGAGATGGGAGCACTGTCACCGCAGGAGCTACGACTGGGCTGCGAGAGGGAGGCCCAGTGAGAGGGCCGCCCGGGAGCAAGCCTTGTTCTGCGAGGCCACGGTGGCCCAAGGGATGGGGTACGCTGTCACGTACTTCGACCTGGTCAAGTGCTTCGAGTACGTCACGCACGAGAAGGTGTGGCAAGCAGGCACGAGATCAGGATTCAACACGGTGATCCTGAAGATGGTGCTGCGCATCTACTCGATGACGCGGCGCATCGCGCTGGACAATGCATACACGGGGGGGTCGAGATGGGCGCGCGGCATCGTCGCAGGCAGCCGCCTAGCGCCCCCTCTGCCTCAAGATGGTCATCTTCGGGGAACTGGACGGGGTCATCGCCAACTTCCCGCGGGCCTCGGTCTGCCTCTTTTTCGACGACCTGGCGGTCGCCACGCGGGGCGCGAGGCTGTTCGTGCAGCACTGGCACACACAGCTGGTGCAGGAGCTCGTGGACATGTTCGGGAGGCTGGACATGAAGGTATCCAAAGGCGCGGAGGGTAAGACGGTCACCATGGCCTCGACCACCGCGCTGCAGGACGGCCTCGCCAGGAGAGTGAACCCGCTCGGCATCAGGATGGCGCGACACGCCGACCACCTCGGCGTCACCACCGCGGCGGGCAGGAGGAGACGAGTCAGCGCCTTCAGCAAAAGGGCCAGCAAGTACGCAGCGAGGCGAGACCGCATCGCCCGCATACGCCGAGCAGGGGGACCTGCGCAGGCAATCATCAGACAGGGGAAGGTGCCGTCGGCGATGTACGGGGTGCAGGTCATGGGCTTGCCCAACTCCACCCTCACCACCCTGCGGCAGAGTGTGGCGACCTCCTTCAGGGGCAACACCATGGGGAGGTCGACGCCGCTCACGCTGCTCGCGCAGGGCGCCGACCCCGCCACCCGCGCCAACACGGAGCCGCTGCTGAACTGGGCCATGGCATGGCACGAGGTAGCCAACCAGGACGGCCTCCAGGAGGAGCTCCAGAGCGCGTGGAAGAAGTGGGTAATACGTGTGGGGACATCCAGAGCCCCATGGCAGCAGGTGCGGGGGCCCGCGGGGGCCTTCATAGTCACGGTGCAGAGGCTGGGCTGGAGGACGCTCGCGGCCCACAGCATCACCATCGGCGACGAGCACCTAGACCTCAGGACGCTGCCTCTCAGGCACCTGGGGCAACTCATCAGCACGGCCACCGAGGATGGCCTCAAGAGCGACTGGCTGCGCATCCACGGCGAGAAGCACGGCCTGGACAGCCTCTTCGTGGAGCCCGTCGCCGCGCTGCTCAGGATGCCGCCGAGCAAGAAGTGGACGCTGGAGCACCAGACACGGGTGCGCAGCTTGTGGTGTGGCGGTACCTGGCCACAGCGGAGGCTCTTCGACAAGGGTGCAAGGCCTGCCACGAGCATGAAGGAACGGACCGCCACAGGACGTTCGTGTGCTCGGCCAGGCAGAGTCACCGACAAAGAGTGGGAGGGCACCACATATGCCATCGTGGTGCCATGACATGGCCTGGAGCGACGGAGAAGCAGCTGGCGACCTCCGAAACGCTCCGGGGAAGAGGGCTCGCAGCGGACCCAGCGCTGAAGTACGGCCTCTAGGAACTGCCCTCCTCGTCCACATGCGAGATGGAGGGCTCCTTCGACGGCCTAGTGCACGGGGGCATCTACACTGATGGCAGCCTGCTGTACGGGGCATACCCAGCGCTGAGAAGAGGCGGCTGGGCAGTCGTGAAGCTCGACAGCGAGAACACGATGGAGTTTGCGTTGTTCGGGCCACTGGAGGGATCGCAGCACGACCAGTCGATCTACAAGAGCGAGCTGATGGCGGTCCTCCAGGCCCTGAGGAGAGCGGTCCCTCCTGTGCGGGTCTTCAGCGACTGCCAGTCGGTGATCGACGGCTTCGCCAGAGGCCCTGAGTGGGCCGCCAGAGCCGACACGACCCACCAAGAGGTCTGGCAGGAATGCTGGCGGCTTGTGCAGGAAAACGGTGGGACAGGTGAGCAGGGGATAAGCTTCTGTAAAGTCCGTGCCCACGCCACGAGGGCCCAAAAAGCCTCGATAGGGCCCCAGCATTTCATAGGGAATGGGTTCGCAGACGCCTACGCAAAGCGTGGGGCGCAGATGCACCAGCACGAGGCCTGGCACAGGGCCGCGTACATCCAGAGGTTCCAGTTGGTTTCAGACATCCTGGAATTCGCCGCGCCCGTCGGGGTTCTCGGCCACGGGCTCGAGGACACCTCGGAGGGCCCTGGGCCTTCGGGGGCCCAGGGCAGCCCCGCCCCCGCCCCGACGCCCAGTGAGGGAGCGGAGAGCCCTGCGGGCACTCCACCGCCCCCACAGGGCCCCGTGGACCTCCCGCCCTGGCCCCCCGTGGGGCTCGGAGAGCTGATCCAGAGGGCCCAAGCCGAAGGCCACCAGACGGTGCGCCTGCAAGCAGTAGTATTCTGTCGGAAGTGCGCAAGGTACGCCACAAGACGATGGAGGGGTCTGATGACCAGCTGTCCTGGGGGGAATCCTCGGGCCTTAGAGCTGGGCGTCTGAATCGTCTGTGGCAGGGCAAGCACCCCACCACCAATCAGAGTTTCGGAGGCCTCAGATTGCCCAGGACAGGCCTGGGATGAAGGGCACCTCCGTTTTCGAGCGTAGTCGCCTCGCCTTCGGCCGATTCGACTATTCGTTGCGAGCGAATCCTCAGCGAATCCTCCTCCTTCTCCTCGTCCTCCTCCTCCTTTCTCTCCTCTCTATTTGACCTCCCTCTCCTCCGATTATTATCTCTCACCCGCGTGTTCCCCGGCGGGTTTCCAAAACAGCTGGGGGAACACATGATCGGGAAGCTTGGCAGAGCTCTGGCCACAAAGTCTGGCCACATGGGCGATTCCAAAAAGGCCAGGAGCGGCGTTGATTCGCCGTGGGCGTCTTCGCTATATATGTTATGGAGATTCAAAAATTAATATCTCACGGGACACTCTGGGTGATTAGAGAGGCGGAAGAAGCTAAGAAGCAATTCTTCTCGTGGCGCAGATTTGGACCAGGGTAGAGAGCCGCCGGTTCCTCAGCGGGCCCTCCTCCGAGCTGACCCACAGCGCCGAGGTCACCAGGACGCCCACCACGTACATACTGGATGCCATGTGCCCGCGGGGGTACCTGGGGAAACCGAATGACACCGACATAGTGCTACTCTACGGGCCTCTCCCGGGAGCGAAGGCCGGACCAGGATTTCGAGGCGAATCCAGCGGTGGCGACGAAGACACCATGGGAGGCCCAAGAAGGGGAAGCGAAGGAAGGGTAGCGGTAAGGATACCGTTTCATCCTCCTCCTCCTCCTCCTCCGCCTCCTCCTCCTCCTCCTCCTGCTCCTCCTCCTCCTCCTCCTCCCTCCTCCTTCCCCCACCTCCCTCCTCCCCCTCCTCCTCCTCCTCCTCCTCCCCCTCCTCCTCCTCCTCCTCCTCCTCCGCCTCCTCCTCCTGCTCCTCCTCCTCCTCCTCCTCCTCCTCCTCCTCCTCCTCCTGAGCGCCGGGACGCGGAGCCCCTCGCGCGGAACTGCGCGGCGAACATGCTCGGGTCGGCGAGGCTGTCGCCGCCGCAGGCCGCGAGCTCCGTCATGTCGTGGTCCGTCCAGGTCGCGCAGTCGCGGCGCAGGGCGCGGGCCACCTCTGGGGCCGCAACGTCCAGGGCTCAACCTGAACTTGGGTCGGGTGTGTTCCCCCTACACGGGGGATTTTGGGCGAAACGCAACAAAAAAAATACCCCCAAAAAACAAACCATTTCCCCAACAAATCGTCCACCTACTATTTTTTGACTAGTTTCGAATATTCTTCCTGTAGAGGGGCAGGCCCGACTTGAACCTAAACAGTGCTGCTCGTTTTCGATGTGTTTTCGTTTTCCCTCGTTTCGTCTTGCACTCGCCTCGATCTGCCGCAGAACACGACATCGAGGCGAAAACGGCCCACGATATCGCCAAAGCACCGTTTTTTCGGTCCCCCCCCCTCCCCGGGGCTCTCCCGGAGGCGCTCTGGACAGGATTCCGAAGCGAATCCAGCTGGGGCGACGGGGAGACTGCAGGGAGGCACTGAGGAGGAGGAGGAGGGAGGAGGATGAGGAGGAGGAGGAGGAGGAGGAGGAGGGAGGATGAGGAGAGGGATGATGATGATGAGATGATGATGATGATGATGAAAGATGATGATGATGATGATGATGATGATGATGATGATGATGATGATGATGCTGATGCTGATGCTGATGCTGATGCTGATGCTGATGATGATGATGATGATGATGATGATGATGATGATGAGATGATGATGATGATGATGATGATGATGATGACGAGGAGGAGAGGAAGGAGGAGGAGGAGGAGGAGGAGGAGGAGGAGGAGGGGGAGGAGGAGGAGTGGGGAGAGGTGGAGGAAAAGGAAGCGGGGGGAGGAGGAGAAGGAGAAGGAGGAGGAGGAGGAGGAGGAGGAGGAGGAGGAGGAGGAGGACAAGGAGGAGGAGGAAAAGGAGGAGGAGGAGGAGGAGGAAGAGGGGGAGGAGGAGCGAAAATGAGGGACCGGCGGCGACATCGGCGCCTTCTCCCCCCGTGAGCCTCCGAGGCGGCCTCGAGCAGGGCCTGCAGCTGGACCCGCTCGGAGTGCTCCTCGGGGCCTGTGGCGTCTCCGGCCCCAGGGTCGACCCAGCAGGCGGCGCCCTGGCCGCGCGGCGGCAGGAGCCAGAACCCGGCCACCTCGTCGCCGCTGTCCGTGAACAGCCCGGCCCCGCGGCACGCCTCGCATCGGTGCGGGCAAAGCTCATGTCCATATCCAGTGCGTTTTGGAACTTTTTGGAAGGGGCGCCACAAGGCCGAGGCGCACTGGATACAGATTAAAAACGAACTTTTCGGGGCCAGATTAAAATCTATGTCCCATGCGCCTCATGTTTCTGGAGAAGAGAGCCCGAAACTCCAAGACGCTCTGGATATGGGTATACACTATATTGGAGGGCGAAAGAGGGGGTCTGCAACAGGGGGTCTTCAATGGGGGCTGAATGGCCCATGTATGCTCAATGTATCGTTCATGTATGTGATCGGGTACGATTGGCATCCAATGCTGGCGGTCATTGATGGCCAGTCATTCGTGCCCGCGCGTTGCCCGCGCGGGCACACGCGCCGTCCATCCATTATCGTTCATGCGTGCGGGCGTTCCTGCATATTGCGTGTGGGTCGGCGAAGTGGAGTGCAAGTGTGTCTTGATTGTGCGGTTGATGACCGCGTATGTTCCCAAACGATGACTTCTCGACCCTCAAAACAGATTTGGAATGGGCCCCGCGATTCTCCCAAAATGTGAATTCACATGTTCCTTTTTTTCCCAAAATGTGAATTCACATTTTCCTTTTTCCCAACATGTGAATTCACATTCTGGCCCCTTCATAAAGAATCCTACACAAAATTCCAATATGTGAATTCACATTTTCCTTTTTCCCAAAATGTGAATTCACATTATCCTTTTTCCCAAAATGTGAATTCACATGTTGCTTTCCTCCACAATGTGAATTCTCATTTTGCCCTGGCGTTCCAGATCCCCAACACTGAGGCGCAGTGTTCCGCATGTCAGATTGGCTGGGTAGATTTCGACACTCACCTGACCGCTTTCGTGTGTTCCAGCCATTTCTTTTTGCGCCCTTAGCGCCCGTTGCCTTCGTCGCCTTTTCCGAGCCCCCCCGCCCCCTTGTTTCCTTTCCCCTCAAGTCTCGCGCGCGGGTGCAGGCGGGGGGCTTCAATTAGTTCCCCCGCCGAACACAGCAATCGACGATGTATCGCCCATTCATGGCCTTAAAAAACATCATTGCCGGGACCCTGCGCCCGACCCCCACTTTCACCCTCCAACTATAGACATTGCCCGCAAGCAGGGTTCCGGCTGAGCAATGTCCTCACGCTTGCGTTATGTCTGCGTGTTGCCTCGCTCTGGCCATGCAGTCGCCCTTTCAATCACGGCGAACAAACGCCCACGAAGTCTCCCCACAAAAACTGCTGATCGGGAGCGACGATGGGGGTGAATAGCCCAGAGGAGAACAATACGTGTATCCAGGGGCGCCGATGGACCATGCCTTCGGTGAGGCTCCCTGGGCTATTCTTGTCAGCGCGCACAAGGAAGTGGAGGCACTGGGGATACCACCCCCCCTGCGCGTGTCCGATATTCGCCCCTATCGTCGCGTCCTAGCTACTGGACGATCTAAATGGAGACGGAAAAATCATTACTATGCGGGCTGATTGTGCCCAATTTGACGGGGAACGAAAGTTCGGTGGCAGCTTACGGGAGCCTCCCTCACCAGCTTGTCGGCACTTGCGAATCGACGCAAATCGATGCTAAATCGACTCTATATCGACGCTCGTCGACGCTAAATCCACCACTCGACGCTAGCCGATGCTAAATCGGCGCAACCTCATCGACTCCCACATGCGAACCGACGCGAATCGACGCTGGGGCAGAACTGCGAGGGCACAGCGGGCTCCCATGCTCTGCTGCCGAGCGACAGGGCAGGATAGCACAGGGCAGGGCAGAGAATCAGCTCGCGCGGCTAGCTCGCCTGGTATCCCTCAGCGCCCAGAGGCGCCCACGTGTCAAGGCATGGGTCCCGCGGCGGCTGCGCGCCGCAAACTTCACACCCCCCCCTTTTGCCCGATCCCCCCTCACCCCCCCACCCCCCCACCCCACCCCCCCTTCCCACCCTCATGATAGCCACCGCGACACGCGAAGCCGTTTAGTGAACGCACCCGAAGAAGGAGTCGAACAGGGCAGGGCTGTTTCGTAAACGCCCAAGGCCGGCGAGTACGCGCCCATTCTGGGGCCCGGGGGGGTCTTTCCCTCCCTTGCTTTAGGTCGGGCATGTCCTCCTACAGCCGAGACTTCCCCAGCAATGCAGGGCAACGGCGAGCAGAAAACATTTCGACGCAGGTTTTAGATAGGTTCAAACATAAGTTCGGGAGATAGCTTCGCAAGCATAGTAGGTTCCAGGAAGACGGTTCAACGCGCGCGGAAAAAACGCGCCATCGGGCATGTAGCCTCCCGTTACTGGGATTGCAAAAGCGCGTCGGCGCAAATGCCGCGGGCAGCTAAGTTGGCGAAGCGAATCCGCCAAAGTAGCCCTGGCAAGTGCACCTGGGGACGTTCCCTGGCCGCGGCAACCTCGCCAAGAAGGCTTGCAAGGGAAAGGGCGCCAGGGGTGCATTTCAGGCAGGGGCCGCGACACTTTTCGCGCGATGCACCCTTGGGCACAAAACATAGAAAGTTAACGAGAGCGGCTGCGGAGAAAACCTCCGCAAACACGACCCGCCAGAAAAGCAGTCACGACAACGGGTGGCCCAAAAATCAATTGGGGCAGCCCCGGCAACTGGCACGGCGAACAACGCAAGTCAAGACATCCTGGACAAGCCGAACCGCCACCAACAATCACCACCCCAGCAAAGCCCCCACACCGTGTCCCGGCGGGGTCCCGGCGGGGCTCCTCCTCATTATCACGGCCGCCCCGCCCCAGGTCATTCTGCCTTCCCCGAAGCCACTCGTCATCAATCACATCATGCTTCCAATCATCGCCCACCTTGCCTCACCATGCTCTCCCTCGTCAGCCGCAGCATCCATGTTCTCATCCTCCTGCCCCTGATCCTCCCCGCCCTCCCCGTCCCCTTTCTCCCCCTCCTCCTCCTCCTGCTCCTCCTCCTCCTCCCCCTCCTCATCATCATCATATTCCCCCTCTTGTTCCTACCTTTTCTCCCTCATCCTCCCTTCATCCGCCCCTCATCCTCCACCAGATCCTCTGGATCCTCTTGGTCCTCCTCCTCCGACTCCTCTCTCCTGTTCCTCCTTCCTCCTGGCCCTCCGTTTCCTCGACCTTGCTCTCCTCCTCCTCCTCCTCCTCCTCCTCATCCTCCTCTTCCTCCTCCTCCCCCCCATCCTCCTCCTGACTCTCCTCATCCACCTCCTCCTCCTCATCCATTCCTCTTCCTCCTCCTCCTCCTCCTCCTCCTCTTCCTCCTCCACACTCTCCTCTTCAATCCCTGACCCTCCATGCTTCCGAAAACAGTTTGAAGTAGGTTTGAAATAGGTTTGAAGTAGGTTTGAAGTAGGTTTGAAGTAGGTGTGAAGTAGGTTTGAGGTAGGTTTGAAGCAGGTTTGAAGTAGGTTTGAAACCTTCTTTGAGGCCTCCGAAACGTACTTCGAGGCTCCTAAAACTTACTCTGGGGCCTCCGACACCTACTTTGGGCGACCGAAAACCTACTCTTGGATTCCACATACCTTCTTTGGAACCTACCTCGCAGAAACAATTTCTGCAAACCTACTTTCCGACCTACTTTGGGGGCGCAGTTTCTTGAGACATCAACACACGCTTGCCCGAGCCTTTCCCAGAAGTCGCCCCCGGGGGTGGCGCGCCAAAAAAGGAATCTGCGAAGTACCCCCAGAAGGGGAACAATCCCAAAACACTTGTAGGTCGCCCCCGACGGGCGGGAGCCCCCCAAAGGGGGCGGTCTTCCTCCCCCCCGAGGGTCGAAGATCGAGCGCGCGATTTCGCTGTCGGGCGACAGGCGAACGTACCGCGACAGGACAGGGCCTTTTGGCGGCCCCCCCGCTTGCGGGCAGGGGGCCGCCGCCTGGCGCCCCAGGTTCTTCAGAAACCAAACCTGATGCGGCCGCCCCCCGCCCCCCGGGGCCCCTCCGGGCTCGGCCCGACGGAGGCGCCACTCCCTTTCCGTTTCTCTTTCCTCCTCCCACCTCTCCACCTCCTCTCCTCTTTCACGCGTCCTCATTATCCCCAGCCTCCCTCCACCTCCTCCCCCCGGAAACGCCACCTCCCCCCTTCCCGCCTTCTGGAGCCCCCCCCCCCCCTCCCGTTTCTCACCTTCTTAACCTTCCTGATCCTCCCTCTCGCCCTCCCCCCCCATCCCTTGCTCGGGCCCGCGGCCCTCGCCCAGCCGTCCATGCCCCACTTCCCGCCCAAGGGGGAAACGCAATGCCCCCAGATCTCAGGACGGAGGTGGTTTAGAGCGCTTCCTGTTCCAACAACCCCCAGTCTTCCCTTCGGGGATGGATGCGCCCCTCTCCCCCCCCTCCTTCCGGGATCTGCAGTAGGGGGCGGCGGGTCGCTGGAGCGCCCGAGAAGGTCAAAGATAGAGCCGGCATGACCTCGCAGAATGCATCGCGGTCTGACAGATGGTTCAAGATAACCCAAGATGGATCAACATTGTTTCCCGCATGCTCCAAAAACCCAATTACCGCTCCGAGACCGCCCCAAGTGGCCGCGGAGCCACCCAATAACACCCCCGAGAAGCCGAAATCTTTCCAAATCGTACGAGACACGAATGAATTGGGCCTTTTCGCCCATGCGCTTCCGAAGACCTTGGAAGCCTGAAGATAAGCCCCGAAGGAGTCCAGAAGAACCCAAGACAGCGCACCTCACGAATTACTCGGCTGGTTTGCTAGCAGAAGCCGCGCCTTGCCGGCGGCGTTCCAGCATTTCCCTGAGAAGCTTGTTTGGCAAATATCATTACTGACCCGATCCCGACAAGTTACTTTTGATAATGTATTCCCGACAACCTTCCCTGGACAGCTACTGTTGAACATGAATGTCGCATTCCTTTCCCCTGAAAGCTTCTTGCGGCAATCGGTTTCGCCATCCTTTCCCTTCGAGTTACCTGCGCCGACCACTGTTGCCAGGCGCACTGCAGACCTACTTCGCCGACCTACTTCAGGAGCTACTCTAAGCCTACTTCATTTGTTTTGCGCCTCGAACAAACCCTGCATTCAAAGGGATGTCTCGGTCCTACAGGCGGATTTTCGAGGAAAAATCAAACACAGTCAAACAATGCTCAAACACAGTCAAACAAATAATAGAAAAATCGTCCCAAGCCGATGTTCTGACTATCTCTGAATTTTCTTCCTGTACTGGGGCAGGCCCGACCTCACCCTTGATTTTTTCGCGCGGCAAGGTCCTCGGCGGCGCGAACTGCCGTTGGGCATCGTACCCCACTGAGCATCTTTTCACCGATCCCCATCCCCACCAGCGTGGGCTGGGCCACACTGGCCGATGTGTCCCCCTGCTGGGGATGTAGGCTGCTCTCTTCGGATCTCGAGGGGCATATCCCCAACTGGGGTGGTGAGACCGTGGGGCTCGAGATGTGGACCACCACCACCCCTCCTCCTCCTCCTCCTCCTCCTCCTCCTCCTCCTCCTCCTCCTCCTCCTCCTCCTCCTCCTCCTCCTCCCCCTCCTCCCTCCTCCTCCTCCTCCGCCTCCTCCTCCTCCTCCTCCTCCTCCTCTCCTCCTCCTCCTCCTGCCTCCTCCTCCTCCCTCCTCCTCCTCCTCCTCCTCCTCCTCCTCCTCCTCCTCGCTCCTCCCCCCCTTCCTCCCACCTCCTCCTCCCTCCTCCTCCTTCCTTCTCCTCCATCTCCTCCTCCCAAATCCTCCTCCTCCCTCCTCCTCCTCCTCCTCCTCCGCCTCCTCCTCCTCCTCCTCCTCCTCCTCCTCCTTCCTCCTCCTCCTCTTTCTCCTCCTCCTCATCATCCTCATCATCATCCCTCCTCCTCCTCCCCTCCTCCTCCTTCCTCCTCCTCCTTCTCCTCCTCCCTCCTCCTCCTCCTCCCCCCTCCTCCTCCTCCTCCTTCCTCCTCCGCTCCTCCTCGTCTCTCCTCTCCTCCCCCTTACCTCCTCGTTCGCCTCCTCCCCTCCTCCTCCTCTCTCCTCCTCCTCCTCTTCCTCCGCCTCCTCCTTCCTCCTCCTCCTCCTCCTCCTCCTCCTCCACCTCCCTCCACCTCCTCCTCCTCCACCTCCTCCTCCTCCTCTCCTCCTCCTCCTCCTCCTCACCCCCTCCTCCCTCCAACTCCTCTCTCCTCCCCTCCCTCTCCCTCCTCCACCTCCTCCTTCCTCCTCCTCCTCCTCCTCTCCTCCTCCTCCTACCCCCTCCCCTCCTCCTCCTCCTCCTCCTCCTCCTCCTCCTCCTCCTCCTCCTCCTCCTCCTCCTCCTCCTCCTCCTCCTCCTCTTCCTCCTCCTCCTCCTCCTCGAGGTCCAACGAGACTGACCCATCTTCCCGTGCCCGTTCCGAGCGTGCTGGGAGCTTCGCCCCGGCCCCTGCCTCGTGCAGGGCGTCCCTCGCGCGCCGCGCCGCCTCTGCGATGGGGCGCTTCTCTCCACCACCGCCATACCATAGGTAGGAGAGGAAGGAGGAGGAGGAGGAGGAGGAGGAGGACGAGGAGGAGGAGGAGGAGGAGGAGGACGGGGAGGAGGAGGAGGAGGAGGAGGAGGAGGAGGAGGAGGAGGAGGAGGAGGAGGAGAAGGAGGAGGAGGAGGGGGAGGAGAAGCAGGAAGAGGAGGAGGAGATGGACCTCCTCACCCTCCCTTCTCCTCCGTCCAATGTATGGTAGTGGTGGTGGAAAGCTGACCCATCAGCCTCCAGGCCCCCTGCCGGGCATGTCCTCCTACAGGCAGACTTTGTAAGAGAAATGAAGACTAGTCCAAAAATGCTCAAACATCGTAATGATAATGTACTGAAGTCGTTCCCAGCCTATGTTTGGACTATTCTTGTATACCCCCCTGTACAGGGACATGCCCGACTGAACGCCGCCTCCAGGTCCTCCGGCCCCAGCGGGGCCACGCCGAGCACGGCGCCGAGGCACTGCGCGAGCGGCGCCGCCCTGGCGCGCGCCGCTGCGGCACCCCGGGCGCCGGCACCGCCCGGGCCCCCCTCGGCCGAGCCCGGCGCGGGGCGGGGGCACGGATTGCTCGGCGGCGAGCGCGGGGGGGGAAGCGAGGGGGGGCGGGCCTTCTCAGGAGTATCGCTGGGGGCGCGCCAGCGGGGTACGGGGGAGGGGGGAAGGCTTCTCTTGGAAAGAGGCTGCTTCTCAGAAGGCGCCGGCCTTACACCTACAGAGAAGGCCCCCCGCGCCCTCTACGCAGCGAGGGTGCTTCCAAGGAGCCGTCCCCTCTCCTCCTACCCCCCTTCTGCGCCTGGCCGAGCTCGGAGGGCCTCCGGCCCTGGAGAAGTGCTCGAGGGGCCTGCCCCCAGGGCGCGGGCGGCAGCTCCGAAGCCCGAAGGGCTTCTCCTCCTCGCTTCCCCCCCAGGGACGCCGCCGACCTCCGGCTACACGCACAACAAGTGGCCTTGGGCAAGAGTGGCCCTCAGTGCGCGGCGCCCGGGGCGGGGGGCGAGAGGGGGCAACATCGGCCTGGAATCGGCGATACATCGCCGATAGATCGGCGACAGGCCCCCGATAGAGGATGAACATATTCCTGGGCGGGGTGGAGCTATCGAGCCCCTATCGCCTATCGGCGATCAATGGGCGATTGGGGGTCGATGCATCCCCCCCTGTGCCTATCCCCCCACTATCGTTGCCCCCGATAGTGGGCGCCCGCACCAAAGGCCACTCCGGCGAGAGGCCATGCTTATACGGCAGGCCCGTGCGGCGCCGGCGCGCGCCAAGGCCTTCGACTCCAGAGTTGCATTCCGTCCCGGCCCCGTGGCGTTACCGTGTCCCTCCGGTGCTTCCGCGTCGCTCGACCGTGCGGTGTTCCCGCGCACCCCCGGTTAAAACAGGGCTAGGATCGGGATAAATCGCTTCAGAGCGTTCCGGAGCGCTCTCAGAGCGTTCAGGAACGCTCTGGAGCGGCCGCGGCGCCCAATACATCCTCCAAGCCCGCCGATTCTCAGAGATTTCGAGTTATCCCGATCCGATTTTGCCCCGATCTTCGCGTCGTTTGACCGGTGCCGCACAGGGGGCGCAGAGCTCAACCCTGAACGCCTTCGCCGGCGTCGCCGGCGTCGCCGGCGCACCGGCGCCGCAGGAGCCTGCCGTGCGTGTGGTCGGGGCCTCTGCCCAAAGAGGCCGCGGCGAGCGGCGCTGGGATGGAAGCCAGCCGGGGCGACCTCTCGGGAGGAACATCCCGGAGGCCTCGCGCGGCCGTTCGAGATATAATACCGGACTGCCGTCGGATCCACGTCGGATCTGCGTCGGCTTCACATCGGGTTTACGTCGGACCTGCGTCGGAGCATCGCCGCGCGGAAGCGTCGTCCCACAGATCTGACGGGGCGGACGTGCGAACTCGACAGCACAGCTGTGGCGCGCCGAGCAAGACCTCCAGGGATTCCCTCTTGTTAGGAGGCATCTGCTGGGGGGCCTTCGTCGGAAGGATTGCAGTCGGCCCGTATCACAAGGATGCGCGAGGAGGACGCAAGGGCCTTGGACGCCCATCTCGAAGCTTCTCGGGAGGGGCGCGGTCAACGAAAGTGGCCAAGGATGGACCGAGGAGGCAAGGATGCCAGGGGTACCCTTGGGAAGGTTCCCCATCCTTATCATGCGGGCTGGCTGTACGGAGGATTGACCTCCATTCTGAGGGCTGCTACGCCAGCTTCGGCCGCGGGCGGAGCGGGGCTGAGCCAGATTCCGCGGGATTCGGCCGGATCCGGCGGCCTTCGGACCAGGGCAAAGTCAAGATCTCACCTCCCAGGAGTTGCCTCGAACCCAGACCCTCGACGCCGTGATGGTTTCGCGACGTCGATCCCCCAGAGGTCTTGCTCCCTCCCCCAGGACCGGTGTTCTTCCTCCCGAGCCGTTTTTTGACAGTCCCGAGGCCTGGGGAGGGCCCCTCAAGGCCGAAGATTGATGGGCCTGTTTTCCACCACAACCACCACCATTTGGAGAGAGAGGGGGGGTCCTCCTCCTCCTCCTCCTCCTCCTCCTCCTCCTCCTCCTCCTCCTCCTCCTCCTCCTCCTCCTCCCTCCTCCCTCCTCCTCCTCCTCCTCCTCCGCCTACCCCCTCCAACTTATGGTGGTGGTGATGGTGGAAAACAGGCCCATCAAAAATGCTTGAAAACCTCCCGTCGCGATGTTGTTCACAACGCGAGGGGGTCCGGGAAGCTCGCGGGACCTCCTTGTGGAGCACGTTGAGGAAGAGGGCGTAGCGCCACGCCACAGGCCACCTGCCGCCCCACTGCACGGCGGACCAGGCGAGGAGCAGGACCTCGTGGGCCTGCTTTCCACAGCCACCACCAGAAGCAGGAGTGGGAGGGGGTCCTCCTCCTCTTCTCCTCCTCCTCCTCCTCCTCCTCCTCCTCCTCCTCCTCCTCCTCCTCCTCCTCCTCCTCTCCTCCTCCTCCCTCCCCCTCCTCCTCCTCCTCCTCCTCCTCCTCCTCCTCCTCCTCCTATTCCTCCTCCTCCTCATTCCACCTCCAACGTGTGGTGGTGGTGGTGGGAAACAGGCCCATCGGGACCCAGGAGGCCGAGAGGGCCACGGAGGCGGGGAGCACCCACGGCGCCGCGCGGTGCCAGTCTGCCACCAGGAGCCTCGGGCGGGCGGCAAGGGAGGAGGATCAGAAAGAGGAGAGGAGGAGAGGATGAGGAGGAGGAGGAGGAGAGGAGGGGGAGGAGGAAGAGGAGGAGGAAGGGAGGAACGTAGGAAGGAGGAGGAGAAGGCGGAGGAGAAAGCGGAGGAGAAAGCGGAGGAAGAAGGAGATGAGGAGGAAGGGCGGAGAAGTAGAGGAGAGATGGGGAGGAGGAGGAGGAGGAGGAGAGGAGGAGGGAGTTGGAGGCGAGGGGTGACCTAAAAGGGGGGTGAAGAAAAGGGCCCGAAAGGAGCCTTTTCTTCACCCCCCCGTAGGTCACCCCCCCAGTGCCACACGCCCGAGAGCCACAGCAGGAAGATGCATGCAGGGGCGCAGAGCATCATGATCGCCAGGACCGCGTGCTTGATCTTGGACATCTTCAGCTCGAGTATGACGCACCACCACGGCACAACCGAGAAAGTGAGGAACACCAACATGCCCGCCACCGTTACACTGAACTCGCCGCTGGTGTCGCGGAAGTCCGCCACCGTGCCCTCTGGCACGTTCGGGCGTGCTACAATGTGCACTGGCTGGCCGGCCAGACTTCTATGTTTCTTTGGCCCCACCCTTCCCTCTGAGGCACGTGCCTCTGTGCCATCATCCTCCCACCCATGACCTAGGGCGGCTCAAGAACGCCACAAGACAATTCCAACAAGACCTCGGCACCCGGACACGATGGCCCCAGTGCCAGATTGAGCAGGCCCAAAGATCACCCAAAGAACATCAATGCCTCCAACAGGATCCAAGAGCCACGAGGCTCGCAAGAGGCGCAACAGGAGACCTCGAGCTGGACACTCCCAAAAAACAATCAGATCCCTGATAGCCTATGAGTTTGTCGGCTTACGTCGGGGAAAATTAGAGACCACATTTCCCTAGAGACGCCCCCCCCCAGGGCGACCCCGGCGATCCCAGGGCTCCCAAGCAGTCCCAAGCGCTCCTGAGCTCCGAAGGGTGCTCTTAGCGCACTCCCGAGGCGTTCCTAGGGCGCCCCAGGGCGATGCTAAGGCGCCCTGCTACCTTCCAAGGGCCCAAGGGCCCTCGCAGGAACCGCCAACGCTCGAAATGCGTTCCAAGGCGCACCCAGGCACTCCCCGGGATTCCAAGGCACTCCCAGGGTCCTCCCAGGGGCACTGCCCCAACAGGGCCCCAAGATGGCCCCCAGACTCGCTTAGACGACCCCCAAATGGCCCACCCGATTTTATGAGGGGGAGCTCGGTAGAACCACCGCGCGCGAGACGGCCAGATACCCCCAAGCGGATTCCAAAAAGGCACTCCAGAAGACCCTCAGACTCCAAAGATCTCAAAGCGTCTCACTCCACACGAAGAGGACAATGGGCACATCGAAACGATCCTCAGCCTCCTCCCGCTACTCATCATCCTCCTCCGTCTCCTCTCCAAGACTTCAAACAATCCTGAAGAGGCTCCCGAGGGGCCCAGAAAGAAACCGAAAAGCCTTCAACCAATAAGCCCACATGATGCAACGACGCCACAACCACGCGACTTTGCAGCCGCGATGAGCTGCCATGACCGAGCCTGACCGGGAGAGCTCAGGAGATCATCCCGCGTGCACTCCCATGGGCTGCCACGACACCGGGATTGGCGCATGCGGCTGGATAGTCAA